CGGCGTCGTCGACGACGACGCGGCACTCGACAACGAGAAATACGACGGGTTGTCTGTGAACATACGGACCCACGCTCATAGAGTCCTCTTCCTCAAGTGAATTTCTGCCCGAGGACGCTTTCGTTTCTTTGTTGATCGTTCACGAGATCATCGAGCCTTTTACTCCTCAAGATTTGAGTAGGTCAACTTTTACGATCTTGAGGAAGGCATCTCTTGATTGAAGCTGGAGGGAATTGTTCTGAGAGATGACATTTACCACTTTCTATAATGGAGATGTAGAGACGGTAGGATGGATAATAGGAGATGGCAATGGAGTTGTTGTCACCTTTAGGATAGAATATAGAATAGCAATTCAGATGCTGACACCTCAGGATAAAATATAGAAGACAGCAATTCAGATGTTGACCTCAGGATAAAATATAGGAGATAGCAATTCAGATGTTCGCCCCTCAGGATAGAATATATGAGACAGCAGTTGAGACCTTGAAGAATGACGAACTTTTACATTCAAGATAAGAAGTATATTGATAAACTGCAATTCACTTCTGTTAGACAGTTTCGTTCACCAGCGATGCGAGATCATGAAATCTTGTTGAATATATAGCTCGCAAGATCAACGATCTATTTACTTGGCCTCTCGAGAGACACACTCCGCCAACTTCGCTATCCGTATAATCTCGTTAATTTTACTCGAGTGGAAGAAGTTGATAAGATCCTGAAGAATGCATTTCGCTTTGCGGAGAATGGGTTTCACCGATGAATTTTAAAATACGAGTATCACCGATGGGAGATCGAAGCACCTGTTGCACGGTCTTTTATCGAAATAATTACTGCATCACTAATTAGCAATTTAAATCCTGACACCTCAGGATAGAATATAGGAGATAGCAATTCAGATGTTGACCTCAGGATGAAATATAGGAGACAGCAATTCAGATGTTGACACCTGAGAATAGAATATACGAGACAGCAGTTGGGACCTTGATTTGAGACCTTGAAGAATGATGAACTTTTACATTCAAGATAAGAAGTATATTGATAAAATGCAATTCACTTCTGTTAGACAATATTGTTCACCAGCGATGTGAGATCATGAAGTCTTATTCAATGTATAGCTCGTACATCTCAGGATAAAATATAGAAGACAGCAATTCAGGTGTTGACCTCAGGATAAAATATAGGAGACAGCAATTCAGATGTTCGCCCCTCAGGATAGAATATATGAGACAGCAGTTGAGACCTTGAAGAATGACGAACTTTTACATTCAAGATAAGAAGTATATTGATAAACTGCAATTCACTTCTGTTAGACAGTTTCGTTCACCAGCGATGCGAGATCATGAAATCTTGTTGAATATATAGCTCGCAAGATCAACGATCTATTTACTTGGCCTCTCGAGAGACACACTCCGCCAACTTCGCTATCCGTATAATCTCGTTAATTTTACTCGAGTGGAAGAAGTTGATAAGATCCTGAAGAATGCATTTCGCTTTGCGGAGAATGGGTTTCACCGATGAATTTTAAAATACGAGTATCACCGATGGGAGATCGAAGCACCTGTTGCACGGTCTTTTATCGAAATAATTACTGCATCACTAATTAACGTTCACTGGTACAATTCATTAACGTTCACCGTGTAACCATAGAATTCTTTTGTCGACAAAATATTTGATTTTTATAAGGAAAAATAAATGTTTCACGACTAGACGAATACGAGGTCCACCTGAGACTGCTCGGTCAGAGATACACGATGTCTATAGGACGCCATGAACGATTCGAATGGTACTTGAAAGTGGGGGGATGGACCGGACGTTGTATTGTCCCCCACCCCATAAACCAGAAGCGAAGTACGAGGCAGACGTACACGGCACCGGAAGTCCTCCGACGTCGTTCACGATCCACGTTATTACTCTTCGAAGATGAAGTGACCTCGTCAGCTACGGAAAGCGTGAAGCTTCCAACCGAATTTCCTGTCAATTCGAACATGTGTTCTATTCAAATATTTCTCACTGCAATTTCCTACCATTCTTTCTGGACTAAGGCAATTCTGGACGCACAATTACTTCTAGACATTTCAGGGCTGTTTGATCAATTTTTCTTACCATAGACTTATCATAAACTGTAGGTATAAACTGTTAGGTAACATAGATTGTTTCATTTCTTCTCTTTTATTTTGCAATAATTAATTCATTTCAAGCTTTACTTTTATCAGCGCTTCAATATTTAAATGTTCCAATATTCGAACTTTTGATTTATCTAAATTCTACTGACATCTGAATATTTCAGTTATCCAAAACAGCGAGTATTGTAAACAGCTGTGTTGTTTAACATTATTGATTTATTGTTTGTACAATTTTAGACTCGTGGATGCACTAATGATATTTAATGTTACAATTTAATGCTGCATTTAATGTTATAATTTAATGCTACATTAAATGCTACAATTTAATGTTACAATTTAATGTTATATTTAATGTTACAATTTAATGCTACAATTTAATGCTACAATTTAATGCTACAATTTAATGCTACATTAAATGCTACATTAAATGCTAAAATTTAATGCTACATTAAATGCTACAATTTAATGTTACAATTTAATGTTATATTTAATGTTACAATTTAATGTTATATTTAATGTTACAATTTAATGTTATATTTAATGTTACAATTTAATGTTATATTTAATGTTACAATTTAATGTTATATTTAATGTTACAATTTAATGTTATATTTAATGTTACAATTTAATGTTATATTTAATGTTACAATTTAATGTTATATTTAATGTTACAATTTAATTTAATGTTACATTAAATGCTACAATTTAATGTTACATTTAATGTCACTTTTTAATGCTACATTAAATGCTACAATTTAGTGCTACATTAAATGCTACAATTTAATGTTACAATTTAATGCTACATTAAATGCTACATTAAATGCTAAAATTTAATGCTACATTAAATGCTACAATTTAATGTTACAATTTAATGTTACAATTTAATGTTACAATTTAATGTTACAATTTAATGTTACAATTTAATGTTACAATTTAATGTTACAATTTAATGTTACAATTTAATGCTACATTAAATGCTACATTAAATGCTACAATTTAATGCTACACTAAATGCTACAATAAAACAGGACATTCAAGCATTCAAATTTGAAATCCAAAAAATATCTTTGTACAACAAATTCATCTGCAACAGAACTTCAAGTCTTCACAATTACTTCACAATTACTAAGGGAATATTTCTGGAATAACGGAACAATGACGTTACGAATGCTTTGGAAATTTCAGTGGTACAATTAATCGTGTTAGAAGTTCCAAAGCAACAGGAACACGGTATCCTTAACAAAGTTACAACTTCCGATACAATTACAGAACTTCTTAAACTTTGTTTCTTTTCCACGATACAGTTCCCTTCTGCGTTGTACGATTTTCACTGTCAAACGCTCGTTACCGAAATAATTCTCTTTCGAGTTAAACAACGAACAATATGGGGCATTGTTAACGAAGAAAGTTAGGGAGATGAAGATGTCGCGATCTGCGAAATTTGCATGATCGATAGCGGTTACGTGATCGGAATGCGTGAATTGAAACGAGAACGGTTCCCAAACACGCTGCTCGACTACGAATCTTGCTGATCGGAATCTTTTCACAAGATTTCCGTTGCATTCCACGAACGTGTTGCACAACTTAAAAAGCTTCTTCGAGACACGAGACTGCTTGGAGGATTTTTTAACTTTTTATCGATCAGTAGAATTATTCGATCTCTTTGATCGAAGTTAATTCTTGATGAAGTTAATCGACAACTTTGGATTAATTACACGAAGTAATCATCGATAACGAGAAAATTGAACGTCCACTTAAAAACTTGAAGAAGGAGGATCGATAAGAATGAGCTTTTAACCCCTAGCCGTACAATTTATTTGCTAAATGCGTCAATCAAAACTAACTATTCATAGCTATAATATTAAAACAAATAAAGAAAATTCAAATGTTGTGAGTATTTTATATTTAGCAACCTCTGACTATACATATTATAGTTGGACCTAAATTTGAAGTTGAAGAGTATTACAAATTTTAACAGGGTTTGTCACATTTGAATTGTGAGTGCGTCACGAGTGAGACTCATCAAAGTACGGCAAGGGGTTAATTATATATATTTGTAAGAAAACAAAGCTCGAAAGGACGATGAAGTTAATCAACAACTTATTACACGAAGTAATCATCGGTGACAAGAAAATTGAGCGTCCACTTAAAAACTTGAAGAAGAATCGATAAGAATGAGCTTTCAATGATATATATTTGTAAGAAAACAAAGCTCGAAAGGACGATGAAGGACTCTTCATGCTTGAGCGTCGTCTAAAACGAAAAAGGAGAGAAAAGACTGCACCGTCAGGGCGGAATACGCGGTAGCCAGGCTCGTGATACAGGAACGTGTGCGATTATGCGTAAAACACGTGACTCGAGTGTGAAAGCGTCCTCGAGATACGTGATCGTAGATTGGTCCAAGAACGGGTAAAAGCTTACCGACTGCCATCGTGACCCCTTGCACGAGAAACCGCTGTCACGCCGGTATTCTGCAAAAAGAAACACGTTCGATTCGTTAAAACCTTTTACCGCAAACCTTTAACGTTCGCTTTAAAAATACGTGAAACACGTTGACGTTCAAATTAACGCTGAAATTTTCAGCAGAATTGCTTCGTACACTTCATACTGTATTTTGTTCGATCGAAAGGAATCAATGAGGGACGAACCCCTTGCACTATTTTGACGAGTCGTGTCGTACTTCGTGATTTTATTTGAATTTTTAGTGTGCTTCAATTTGAAGTCCAATTATAATTTGCATAGTCAACGATTGTATAATAACATAGTGACATAACATTTCACATTTTTTTGTCTGTATTAATATTGCAGCTCTAATTAGTCAGCTCTGATTGAAGCACCTGAGAAATAAGCCATAGTGCAAGGGGTTAGAGTATATCGAGTACAATTTCGTTTCAACATGGATATACAATATGTTGGAAAAATGACGGAATTTTTTGAATAAAAAGAGAAGAATTATTTTATCAAAATTAATTATTGTATTCAAAATACATCTGCATTAATACACCACTTTAATATAGACTTTAACATAGAACAACGTTAACATAGATTTTATGTCGCAAACATTATAAGTTTGCGATTCGTTGTTCGATTTCAATAATGATGGCAATGTTTTATAGGGGACGTATATTGTTTCCAGATAAAATATTGTTTTAACAGATGGCACGTTTTCCTTGTTACAAAATTTCGCTACTCTTCCGACATACCGTAATCGTTTATTTAATCAGAGTCATTCTTGAACCGCCAAACACAAAAAAGCAGCAATCTCTTTCCCCTTAAATCAATCAATCACTTCTCGAACGAGTCGATCAATTTTCACGGATAACCACAGGAAAATGGGATTGTGCCGCGTGGGCGGAAAGCGTGACGCAAATGGAAAACGCGAAACAAAACAAAAGCTCAACTAGCTGGAAGGAGATTTTTTGCCGAGGTGTGACTCGTTGCACCTCGATTCAGAGCTTGCCAACGAGCTCAACCCCATACTCTCTAGCCTATTTCATTCATCGCTGAAAATACGCTCGAATATTATATTTAGAGCAACGATGTGTGGAGACGCGTGTCGCGCGAACACGACAGGTTTATGGTGGCCCCGGGGGTGGCAAGGGGCGATGGATCGAGCAGAAACCGTTTCATTCATGTTTTATCGTGATATTGGCGCGAGATCTTGAAATTCTAGAGCGGTCTATCCTTTCCAATCCTCTTTTCCGTTTCGTAACTTCGTTCTTGTGAAATTCTTCGAGTTTATTTCATTTTTAGTCGTTGCGATACTCTTGCATGGAAGATCAAAGGACGTCGAGTTTCAAGAACGTACGTTGTTTTATATTGCACGTTGTAGTAACGGTCTTTTTGATTGACAATATGCGAGGTTGTTAATAAAGGTTTCTTTGAAACTTTAAGCTGCGATGTAAAGGGATATTGCAGTGTATGGGGTTGTAAGAGGGGTTGATATAACACATGTTATTATGCGTTGATATAAGGTATAGTGATAGTAAGTGATGCTATATTTAATGGTGCAATTCTGGCAATATTACATGTAGCGATATATTACATGTGGCTATTAGATGTGGATGTAACACATGACAATGTAACACAGCGATGTAACATGTCATACATTGCACGGGGTGATACAATAGTGTTGAAGGAATATATAGATATATATATTATATGACGATATAGTATGTGGCCAAGTATCGTAACACATATAGCAATATAACATGTGACGATATGTTACATGTACAGATATAACACATGACAATGTAACACAGTGATGTAACATGTCATACATTGTACGGGGTGATACAACGGTGTTGACGGAATATATAGATATATATATTATGTGGCGATATAGTATGTGGCCAAGTATGGTAACACATCTAGCAATATAACATGTGACGATATGTTACATGTACAGATATAACACATGACAATGTAACACAGTGATGTAACATGTCATACATTGTACGGGGTGATACAACGGTGTTGACGGAATATATGAATATATTATAATATCTTGCCAAGTATAGTTATACATCTAGCAATATAACATGTGTCGATATAGTACATGTACATATCGTCATATAACACATATCGTACATATCACACATGTCAATATAATGATACATGAAGATATATGTGACATATATGATACACTTGGCGACATTATGCTGTATGATATAACATTTGGGAATACATTATAAACGATGATATAATCCGCGGTGATATAACGAACAATGTTACGCTGCAAAGCGATTTGTTACGAAAGTATTATTACAAAGTATCGTTATTAAAGATACATGATGCAATGTTTTATTAATATTCGTATGATATAATGTAATATAATAACAGATAAGAATATTGATTCAGCTTTCGTAGGTTGTAGATGTTCCTACATGTGGTCCTACATGTAGATTCTCTACATGAAAGAATAATATGGCAATATAACGAGAGTCTTTCATTATTGAGTCTTTCCTTATAAATAGTTAAAGAGACTATTATAAAGTCTTTTAAAGAGACTTTTCCTTAAAGAGAATTTCTCTCAAAGAGACTTTTCCTGAAAATTTTCCAGAAAGTCCAAACAAAAGTTAAGTAACAGAAAAATTATGTCATTCATCCCGAAATTTATCAAGCTAAACCAAGAGCATGTAATTGAAATTCATTTCCCAGAAAATTCGTTCGAATTCCGTGGCCAAGGTGCTCGAGGCTCGCGAGTCACTCTCCGGTTGTTGCCGCAATCAGATTTGTCGCTATTTTCGTTGCGGCTTCCGACGAAGATGAGGATAGGTGAGCTTGCCAGGAGAGGATGAAAGAGGAAAACGATAGAGAGAGAGATCGTCGGGTTATCGTTCCCATGAAAGCTCGAGCACGTTCTGATTTACTCCCCTGTCCAAATGGATCAGCTGATGGGACGAATCACGTCGGTGCGATGCATAAATTGCCTCGTATTCGTTGCAACGACGTTTCGACCGACTTCTTCGCGCTTCTTCGCTGTTTCTTCTTCGCGCTTTTTCTATTTGCTATACGCTTTTATTATTTTCGAAGAGAAATGTTTATTCAGAAGTTTATTTTTTCGCAGAAGTTTACTGCTATTTTGTTTACGTACGATGACGTTATCGGTTTTAATTTGAAACATTTCTGATTAATACTTGAACAGTTTCTACCTGTTAGGTATGGAGATATATGTGAAGATGCATATGTGGAAACTGCATTAAGAATGAAACGATTTCATGGAAGAAATTCAATGACCTTGACCCTCCATCATGTATCATCGAAAGTAAGGAAGTCTTTCGGTCAACAAGACGGTCTTTTATTAACGTTATTGGGACTGTCATCTTTTAATGATGTTTGTGATGTCTCCGTTATACGCTCGTTGTGGTCACAGCTGTCATTTTATACAATCATCGTTGCGACGATTATAATCGATTGTTTCGTTTGAATCACCATTTCTGACGTGCAGAAGGTGTTCGACATAAAACATTAATCTTTATTTTGTATTTTAACATGTCATTCAAATATTTCATTCGAAATTCACGTTCTGAGAAAATGTTAGGTTAAGTTCCACATATTTCATGCATTGAATATTTGTATTTTTTTAAGCAATTACAGGTAATTTTTTAGCATTTGTTTTATCTAAAAAATTAGATAAGGTGTTCGACATAAAAAATTAATCTTTAGTTTGTATTTTAATATGACATTCAAAATTTCATTCGAAATGCACGTTCTGAGAAAATGTTAGGTTAGGTTCTACATATTTCATGCATTGAATATTTGTATTTTTTGAAGCAATTACAAGTAATATTTTAGCACTTGTTTTATATAAAAAATTAGATAAGGTGTTCGACATAAAAAATTAATCTTTAGTTTGCATTTTAATGTGACGTTCAAATATTTCATTCGAAATTCACATTCTGAGAAAATGTTAGGTTAGATTCTATATATTTCATCAATTGAATATTTATATTTTTTGAAGCAATTATAGGTAATTTTTTAGTACTTGTTTTATCTAAAAAGTTAGATAAGGTGTTCGACATAAAAGATTAATCTTTAGTTTGCATTTTAATGTGACGTTCAAATATTTCATTCGAAATGCACGTTCTGAGAAAATGTTAGGTTAGGTTCCACATATTTCATCAATTGAATATTTGTATTTTCTGAAGCAATTACAAGTAACTTTTTACCACTAGTTTTATCTAAAAAATTACAAGTAATTATACGAATTTTTGTTGTAGCTGCTTTGTTAAATTATTTACTTGAAAAGGGAGATACGACTACCTCGTGTAATTAGAATTACGGTTCGGGTAAAAATGAACATGGTCGGTTGAAAACGAGAAGATGACAAGGGCACAGTGTAACGAAAGGTGTAAGAAAGGTCAGGCTCCGGTGATTCGCAAATCATTTACGTATCCCCATGCTAATTAACGACCCTCCAGGCGTGTCACATTTAAAGGAACGATCTCGTGTAAAAGTTAATGCGAGCACGCCCCTCTGTAGGGAAGAGCACGTGCATCGCCGGATGCACTGGTTTTTTCATTGCGCATAACAGCAGGTGCATCGCGTACGAGTTAAATGCAGTTCAGCTTGACCCGGCAGCGATCGACGAACTGCATTTTCACCTTGAGGTAAAAATAAAATAGAGCATAGAAAATGGCGTTTGAACGACACGTTGGATGTTCGCGCCGCAAATCCGTTTTAGCGAAAACTGCGCTTTTGTCGCGATTTAGATCGTAAACACTTGTTTACGTCGACGCTGATGCATTTTAATGTACATGCACCTCCGTTCTTTTATCTTCAGGAAATGGCCTGTAAAAGGTTCTGTGCTTTCAGTGAACTTTTTTGTCGTATAATGTTGCAATAATTAAATCATAGTTTTTCTTCAACGTCATTCATTGGAGGAATCTTCAACAGTGTTTATTGAAAGGGTGAGCATGTAAAAATTATTTGGGAGGTATGAGATTATTCTGGGAACGATCGATTTCCTCAGATTATAATTTAGTGATATAAACGCTAATGCTTTAACGATCGCTTTCTTAACTGATTTACTATAGAGGATACTATAATAAAGTAGTAAGAATGTTAATGATAGTATTAATATTAATGGTTCCATAGTAATAATACTCGTTTAATATTAATGATATCAGTGTGCATCGTACGTCAAGATCAAGGCCGACGTGAACTCATACACGGCGAATTTTAACTCACTTTAATGTGGCATAGCTCTTCGACAGTTACTAAATAACTTAATAACCAAAGCAGTGACTTGCACACTCAAAATTACTCATTTTCAGTACGAGCTCGCATTATTCAAATTTCAATGCGGATCTAAAATGTCCATAGACAAAATATATTGATTAAAATGAAAGAAGACGCAGTCTTAACACTAAAACTACCGAACTGGTCAAATGACCGCTCCATAAGTATAGGTAAGGAGCACATTTTGTTAAAGTACATTCCTTAAAATCAGCATTGATTTTCATCAAGGTTAAGAATAAATGTGTGTACTAATTTATGTTTGCTTGATTGTTTATTTATTTTTTAACTTCATTTTTAATTTCAAATTAAGTACGCATTATACTTCGGTAGGTTTAGTGTTAAATTAAATAATTATAAATTAGACTCACCGATGTCTTAATCAGCGTTAATCAAGGTATTCCATGTGCTTCGTATCTTTACGTAACGAGCACTCGAAACTTCCTCCCTTCGAGACACTTGGACGAAAAGTAGAAAAGAATTGGCTACATAAAACGTACAGAAATATAACTCACATCGAGGTCGGCACCGAGGTACGAACGAAACGATTTCGCGTATAACATTCGAGCGTCTGGTTAGGTTCGGCTGTCAGGTTCGATCTATTAATATACACTGCGAGCTGCCTGCCTAATTCCTAATGGAATATTCGTACAGATTTCTCGACGTGGACGCCTTAAAAGTACTCCCTTGCTGGATCATACGTGATCAAAAGCTGTACGATTTCGATTCATCAAAATATGCGCGCAAGGAAAACGATTAATGGTAGACTTCGCATTGACACGAATCAAAGATAATACGATTTTTTCCAGGTTTAATTATCAGTTCGTTACTTTGCACTTTTCGTGCAATAATGATGCAATGATATTTCATTCTCTTTGTACTACTAACGACCCTTAAGATGGTATCTGAATTTTGTACTTAATTTAGAGGAATTAATGGTAATAGGTTCATTAAAAATATCTGTAAGAGCGAGTCAATGAGGATATACGTTAATTGCGGAGTAACGTGTAGTGTATTTATCAACGATGTTGATGCGATTCATTCATGTTCCTCGAATAGTAAGATCACTAAAGGATGTAGAACTATATACTAAAACGAAATTTACTAGGAAATTGTTTCGTGACGAGCGACGAAAATAAACCGGCTTAAGGTAATAGCTGAGGAAGCTGTCATCACATATTTTACTTTGGAATGTTCGAAAACATTACTTAGAAAATGACCAAAAATATTGCAAAAGTTTATCAATTTAAATGACTCAGTTTCAAGGAACGACAGTTCAAAGGAAATCTGTTATTTGTTAAACTTCAATAAATAGTTTTGTATGAATTTCAATGTGAAGTATAAAGTGGGAGTACCAGGTGGCTATATAACGCGTGATAAATATGATGTTTTGCAATATAACTCGTGGCTCTATGACACGTAACGAAACGTTGGTGATATACTTTGTGGGGAGTTCAATATGGCGATGTAACGCATGGTAATATAAAGCGTGGCTATATAGCGCGCGGCAATGGAACACGTGGCTATATAACGCATGGTAATATAATGCGTGGCTATACAGCGTTTGATAAATATAATGTTTTGCAATATAACCCGTGGCTCTATGACACGTAACGAAACGTTGGTGATATAATTTGTGGGGAGTTCAATATGGCGATGTAACGCATGGTAATGTAATGCGTGGCGATGTAACGCGTGGTAATATAATGCGTGGCGATGTAATGCGAGGTAATATAACGCGTGGCGATGGAACGTGTGGTAATATAACGCGTGGCGATAGAACACATGGTGTTGTAATGCGTGGTAATATAACGCGTGGCGATGGAACGCGTGGTAATATAACGCGTGGTAATATAACGCGTGGCGATCGAACGCGTGGCGATGGAACACGTGGTGTTGTAATGCATGGTGATATAACGCGTGGTGTTGTAATGCATGGTGATATAACGCGTGGTAATATAACGCGTGGTAATATAACGCATGGCAATATAACGCGTGGTAATATAATGCATGGTAATATAACGCGTGGCGATGTAACGCGTGGTAATATAACGTGTGGTAATATAACTCATGGTAATATAACGCGTGGTAATATAATGCATGGTAATATAACGCGTGGCGATGTAACGAGTGGTAATATAATGCGTGGTAATACATCACGCTGCTATATAATGCAAGGCAATATAACACAGGTAATATAACAGGTGGTAATACAGCAAATATAACCAAAATTAAAAAAATTAAAATAAATTAAATAAATAATCTTACCTTTAATTTCTCGCCAGTAATTCTTCAACCTTATTCCATGAGTCCATTCTTCCAATATTTTTCCTCCACGATAATCGAATATTTCTTCTCCCCAACGGTGCTCCAAAAATTGTAGCCTCTTCTAGAGCCCCCAAACGTGCAGTTAATCAACGAACACGCGATTCAGAGTATTTTCTCCGAAAATACACTTGGAGTTACAGATGTTTTTGTTCGTCTGAGCGCAGGAAAAGAAGTCATGAAAGGTAGCATTATTCGGTTGTAACGAGACCCTCTAAGTTCCCTTTTTGTCGCAGCTTTTTGCGCGCGAAACAGTGCACGGTACATCGAAGCGCACTTCAACGTCGAAAGAACATTATACTGTATCCTCGATTAATTTTCACAGGAGGTGATTCAAATTTTACAAGAAAAGAGTCTTCGTGAAATTTGCTCGTTAAGAATTTCTTCAAGAGTTCTCTGCAGTTTCTTAATTCTTCTCTCGAACTTCCGAAAACGGCACAGCCAAATTCTTTCGCGGTGACCTTCGAACTGCTATCTTTAGAGGGATCGTCCTTCGAACCACTCGAACGAATCCGAAATCGAATCACGGAACGCTTGTGTTCGATGACATTGTCATCAGCGGAATTTTAAGAGGGAAGGAACCCCAATTTCATGCACACCGGAAGGAGTCTCCGAAGCGCGGGAACTTCCACCTCTTCTTCTTTCTCTTTGTTCCTGTTTCAACATAACGCGTGGTGATTTAATGCGTGGCGATGGAACGCGTGGTAATATAACGCGTGGCGATGTAACGCGTGGCGATGGAACGCGTGGCGATGTAACGCGTGGCGATGGAACGCGTGGCGATGGAACGTGTGGTGTTGTAATGCGTGGTGATATAACGCGTGGCGATCGAACGCGTGGTGATAGAACACGTGGTATTGTAATGCGTGGTGTTGTAATGCGTGGTGATATAACGCGTGGCGATGTAACGCGTGGTAATATAACGCGTGGCGATGGAACGCGTGGTAATATAACGCGTGGCGGTGGAACGCGTGGTAATATAACGCGTGGTAATATAACGCGTGGTAATATAACGCGTGGTAATATAACGCGTGGTAATATAACGCGTGGTAATATAACGCGTGGTAATATAACGCGTGGCGATGTAACGCTTGGTAATATAACGCGTAGCGATGTAACGCGTGGTAATATAACGCGTGG